TCAATAGTGGTATATATATGTTATTATTGTTTTCAAAAGCACACACGCGCGTTTCAGTCTTAGATGTTTTGRCAAATGCATTTGGGACACTGTAACTCAATGCGTATCACCCCATCAACTGTAATAGAATATTGTGTTTTCCAGAGCACTTAGGGAATTGTATTCGTCTCGGGTTTCTAGCACACGCGTTTCCGTAATGCATGTGAATTTATATAAAATATTATTAAACGAAAACTTCGACGCCTAACCGTTCCGTGTGCGGATGTAGGGGCCTATTTTATTATTAATATAATGCATAGGGTGCCTGGAGGTATGTATCCGTATGACGTATCATAATAATATATTTAACGGAAACTATATCGGTGGTTTTTCAATCGACTTAATTGCACATATTTTGTAACTTTTTCCTTTTTCGTCACTCTAGCATTTAATAAATTGTACCCTCGTGACGTCGTTTTTCGAAAAAAAAAAAAGGTTTGTTAATAATCGTCGAAATTGATTGATGAACACGCGATATAATATAATACTATATGCACGCGAGTACCTAAGCCTATATACACATCGGTCTAACGGTCAAAATATCGGTATTTACATCGATAGATACCTCCTATACACATACCTAAATCAACACGCGCATATATTATAATGGCATAAATTTATGATGATATATCATTATATTATTATTATTGCAGTTTTATTACATAGCGCCGTTTAAGTCTTGTGCGCGTGTAAAACGAAGAACGCCCATTAATAATACAACTATATAATACATAATGTTGTACGACGTGGCACGTATATACATTTCTAAAGTTCATTTTTACAAGTCAGCCTTGTCAACTGTTAATACCTAACTACTGTATTATTATATATATATATATATATATTCTTTCGTTTCCGCGTATACACACGACTGCTGTTTTCTGCAGACTTGTTATAATATATAACAACATATACGTATATATTGTTTTATTATATGTCACCACGTCGCGCGTCGTGTACGGGGGAGTTATAACCGGAAGAAAAAGGCATTTTCCACCTGGGATTAAGCACGTAGGTACTAATATATATATTTAATATGTCTTTGTATAACATTGCAAAAGTAAAATTCAAAATTATCTACACTCTAAGTCTCTAAAGTATCACCCGACACTGTGTTATAT